ACGCACGTAGATCCGCAAAACTCGTAGAAATCCCTCCCCTCTCATGAAGATTCAAGAGATTTTCCTCCTCCAACGCGATACACATGGGTGCGGTGACCCCAACCGATTCGCTTTGAAATCCTATGTGTGAACTGTATCGCATGCCTTGCCCCACGACCCTAGGGAATGAGAATCCATCCCCAGTCCCAAGGCGAAACAACAAGGGAAAAACTTAAACCTTCCCCTATTATGAAGGCGAAGTCGGTCCGCATTTCCCATTTCGTGACCGCAAAGTGCCACCACATCGGCATGCGCTGTCGCATTCTTCAAGCTCAATTTCACGATTCTTGGATCATTTACCTCTCATTCTCTCCCGTGGAAGATGAGGCTATTTTTTTGAAAGATGATTTCACTTCGAAGGTTCTTGTAAGTCGATGGACCCAAACGACGTGCGCATCTCCGAGTTAACGGGCTAAAACCCTTCCTAATGGAGTTCATTTATCGTTTCTCCTTGGGCAGTCAGAGGGGGCGGGGCGGGGCGGGGCGGGGACGGGGGACTGAAGGGAACGGCCTTCTTCCAATTCCCTTCGTTTCTCAATGGGGGGTCGAAAAGAAATGGTGGTGACGGCAAGGCCTCTTCGTTCCAGACCTTTTCATTAGGGTGAAATAGCTTCTTTTCTTCCGTATTTTCTCGCTTCTGTTGAGCCGGAGGGATCTGAAGGCGATCGGAGAGGTCTTTGTCCAGGGCATGATCACTTTTGCGTGCAATATTTCTCATGACGTGTGCTTTTTTTTTGCAGTCGTGGAGGTCGTGGCTTTTATGCGTTTAGCTCAGGAATGCAAGTGTCAATACTCCGGTGGAAGGTGATGGTTTGGAGAGAGGATAAAGTATTGAATAAAGTTCACATTCTGGCAAGGCATCCATCATTTTAATCAATGGGGTTCACCATTGTATACTCAGAAAACAATTTAAAATGCGTGAAATTCCGCAGTAGTCGAAGCATTCGTTTCTCCCTCCTTATCGGAATGTTTTAAACCTTCGTGAGTGTGGTCCAACGACTGAAATTAGTGCATATCATGAACACAGATGGCGGAAGCTCCCAATAATTGTAGGTACGACAAAGGACGGTTGTATCCCGTTTGCTTGCCTATTGTTTGTCCAGAGGACTGTACGGATGGATTTTTCCAAGCAACCGACACAAACCCGAACGCCAACCTTGCTACGCGTCCGATCTGCGAGTTGCATGGGTCAGAATGAGCCGATTTCCGTCCCGTGCAGGGCTCTAAGCAACAGTACTAAGTACTGAGTACTCTGACGCCTTCGGGCATCCTCGGTTTTCGTTCAAAACGTGGCTGTTGTAAATTCGGTGTGTCCTATTTGAATGCGATGGGACTGAAGACGATTAGCCTGAACCATCAGGACGCGCATGTTTCACGGGTACCAGCTAGTGAACCTAAAGCGACGCATTGAAGCGATATTTGGTAGATTAATACCGTATCTAGATTGATACCGTATAGGCATCGAAAAGGGAAACTTTCGGCTGTGGTTGATTGATTTGTCATTTTTGGGTTCGATTCGTATCGATTTCATTTGTGGCTCCTGGAATCTGAGAGAGAGAAAAAAATTCGCGTCCAACAAGCCAAAAACGGGAAACTTTTCTGCGAATATAATCACATTTTGCTTCATCCATCGGCACCTCAACATCCACCATAAATCTCTTGAGGGATCATCTTTCGATCGATCTCTTCGAGGCCGCCTCCTCACGAATGGAAGAAGAAGCCCCACGTCCTCCAAGGCAAACTTCCCCGCAGGGAGTCGGGAGACGAGCCGAAGGAGGAAGCAGCGGGGCCACGAGCCCTGGCGAGCCCCTAACCTGCTTCCGTGCCGGTCCCAAGATTCATCGTTTGCAGTAAGCCCTTAGCGATTGGCTTCTTGATTCATTTTTCCACGGAACGATTAATTTTTTCCAGGATTCCAACGGATGACATTTATGACGTAATGAAAAGGTACCGTTGTACGTGAGGACTCACGCTAGGTGGCTCAGTCACCCGAATTTCCTTTTTTATTTTCTCGATTGTCGTTATTTTCTGGCATGTCAGAGATGATCGCACAAGACGATCTGGGAAACCTGGCCCGACCCCTCAACCTTCTTCCTTCATCCACCCGTTCCACTCGACGGCCTCGAAACCTTCATCGATCCTCCAAATCGCTCGGCATTCTCTGCACGGGATCCCCTGTCGCCTTCTCATTCGACTGGAAAAATCAGAAAAGCCGGAACGACTGCAGGTACTTCAACTTCTGAATTTTTATGAATGTTTTTTTTGGCGGGCATTATGAAATTAAATGACAGAAGGCAAGGCAAGGTCTTCCTCTCAACCAGACCATTTAAAAACAGGTCCCGGAATTTATATGGCCTCCAACAGAAGGCCAGAGAGAGATAAAGGAGGCGCTAAATGAACGCGCTCGGCAGGGGTCCTTGTTTTAATGGACGGGAAGAAGGAAAGGTCTGTGGGGTCACAGTCGGCTCTCGTCTGCCTTCCATGAAGGCAGATGGGTGTCCTCCCTCCTCTCCCTCTCTCGCAGTCCAGCTTCGAGGAAACTGAATGCAGATCGGGACGAAGGCGGGACGGAATTCGGAGGAGAGACCTGAAGCGGGGATTCCTGGCAGGAATCCCTCAGGCTGGTGGAAGTCTCATCTGTTGCTCTGAATTATGGGTGAATAATTGAGAGTGCGATTTTTTTAAATATGATCTGAAAAATAATGAAATGTGTTCGTAAGGTGTGACGAAAATAGGCTAATATGACCTAATATTTCAGCATTGTGAGACGAATGAATCATTACAATTGCAACTTTTCATTTTTTTAGGCTGCATTTAACGTTTCCACTCCGCTTAGAAATGTGACATTATAGAAATATGTGGTAGAAACGTGGCATAATGCCAACTGGAAGTAGGCCATCGGCCAACAGTGACAGGATTGGTGCACGACGAGAACGCAGTAGTTGGCATAGTTGGTAGTATAATTAGTTGATTGGGAGGAAATGCCGATTAAGACAAAAGATCAGGTCGCAAATGCACATGGAGCTAAAACCGTTGGAAGAGGGAAATAAATCTCTGACAAAAGAAACTGAGGCACAAGACAAGGGTTTTGATGGTCTGCAAAAAAATAAAATCTGAGAAATGAAAAGTAATGTGCTCGGACCGGAGTTCCTTTCCTTAGTGACCGCAATATATGTGCGACGGTCTCCATGATTGTGGCAGCAGCCACTTATCGCAGTCAAAGTGGATTCGTTGCGAATTCGATTTGCATATATTTGTGAAGTAAGGGCTCTGCTCACAATGAAAAGTTAAGGAAAGACGAGTAATCAAAACAGGACCACGACAAATCGGGCGAACAATAATGATCTACTCGTTGGCTCATTTTGCACGATGAACGGTCAACACTCGGGATGGCAAAACGATTCTTATACCAAAAGTCATATCGCTATGGTTCAACTTTTGGAGATGGCCTTAATAAGCTCATGAGTTTCTTCCTGCCCTGTTTCATCTTTTCTTTCAAGGGGCTCATGTCATGCAAGCGCTCGTTGATTTTCTTCAGGTAAACCCGGATGGTCTCGACGAGACTGTCGGCCGCGTCGACGCTCTCCGTGGCCTGCTGGGTCAGTTCCATGAGGTCCACGCCCATGTCGTCGATGGCATCCCGGAGCTGCGGGAAAGGGTTGTGCTGACCCTGGAGGATCTTCTCGGTCAGCTCCGATGCCCGCTTCGCCGCCTCCAGGTGCTGGATGCGTTCCGCGTAACCCTTCTTCGCTTCACCTCTCTCGGCCTGGATGAGGAGGTCGATGTACTCCACGGCCGTCATCGGTTCCGGCCGCAAGGCCTTGTCGCGAAGTATATTCATTAACTGATGGGCGTCGGTGATCATGCTGTACACCTGGGGGGAAAAGGAAGTCTATCTTGAGCAATAAATATACTATGTGATCGCATGAAACTAACGATGATGTTTTCTCTGGGTCTTAAGGGACATTGCAACCTGTATATAATCTTGAAAAGATGCCGTTAAACGCTCATCCAAGCTAATTTTGACTACGAAGCAACAATGGCAAATGAATATAACACGATATTTGATGAACCCAAACCACAGATAGTGCCACAAGTCCCTCAGGAAGGTAAATTTCAATATCTACTCAAGTGATAAGTATGAAGAGTCGCGAAGAGATAAGTTTCCAACGAGTCGTTGGAGAAGCCATCCAAGATAAGCAGTTTCCGCGAAGAGCACAATATCAGCACTCCACTCTCTACTACATCTTCAAAAGGCATTGGAAGTATGAGAAAGAGTGTGCTTTCTGAACCTCGAAAAAGCATGCGATCGTGTCTCAGGGAAGTCGCGGCGAGTGTCGCAAGGGTCGACATAGGATCGACAGTTTCGCTCGAGCGAATGACTCATTCTCGATACATGTTGGGTTTCGTCAGGGTTGCGTTCTCTCTCTTTTCCTGTTCCTCGTGTACGTGGACAGGATCTGCAGGCGCAGTCTGAGCCCAGAGGGGGTCAATATCGATGGCTCTCAGGCAAATACATATATTTTCGCCAATGATGCCATCCTTTATAGCCCAAGCAAAGTAGGAGCTTCAGAGCCCTGCATGTCAGGATGGCCCCCCTCGGTACAGGTGAAGCACCTCGGACCTCAGTTCTCGAGCGATGGGCGAAGTGGAAAGGTATCGATCGTCGAAATCTACGATCACTTCCCCAGAACGGCAATTTTGCATGAATTTCTGGCGTACCGTGGTTGCCAAATCGGAAATTTCCAAGAAGTCAATACCCCTAATTTATGTGTCCATCCTCCCACCATCATCCATGACCATGTGTTCTCGGTACCGATAGAAAGAATCAGACAACGGATACAATCCGCCTCGACGAGTCCCTCAAGGTGGCCGGATTCAGCCGTGACGGGAACCGGACTGGGGACCGGACCCCATCCAGCTGGAGCACTTGCTTCCTCGGCTGCTTGAGCACGCCATTTGAAAGACTCCCAAGAGGAGTCACTCGTTCCAACTTGACAGAAGACCAGTCGGTCTTCTGCCATTTCAAGTTCAGAAGTACGGTTTAAAAGATATATATGTATGGATTATGCGTGTAGGATACGATTATCTCGAAAAGTTGCCCAGGAAGGCATGCATAAATGACAAGCTTGATAGAGGGGACGCTACAAACATCGAGGACGCAGCAGTAGAGCCCTCAACGGAAGCGAGTGTAAATTATATTCCTTCTGCCGTCTATGAAACATGACATGTTTCAAAGATATGGGATGGTTATACAGGACTGCGGCAGTCACGATAGATGAGGTTGGACGTGAATGTAAATCGGAATCTTATCTAAAAGCAGTTTGAAAGATCTAAATCTGGATTTAAGTTACCTTTTGAGATAACAGCAGTCTGAATATGTAGGTTAAACGACCAATACACTTATGCACGAGTTAGAAATACAGTATACTTATTATTTTTCTTTTTTAGAATCAGCATTTATTTATTTTTAAATCAGGTCTGCTTTAGGCTTTTACTGCATGAAAGAATAAACGGGGATTTCGCTCCAAAACAGGTTTTAAAAAAATATTTGCCAGCAGGCATACATTACTGAATCGGCTCTTCTTTTCATAAGACAGTCATTGAACGTACTTCCATCTGACAGGAGCGGATTTCCGCAGCCAGTTTTTTCATCAGTTGCTCCTTGGACGCGTGTTTCTTGAACTCCTTCGCGTACTGCCGGCGGACTTCGGCCTCAGACCTGAGTGCGGTCACGACTTTCTCCTCGTATCGCCAGCTCTGGAGCGCATGGTCTTGGAAGGCACAGTTGCATCGGATGCACCTCGGGGTACTCGTCGTCGTCCGGGTCCTCATGCACCTGCTCAACTTCAGATCCTTGTCGAGGACGTCGCTCGGATGCTCACACGTCCGGCCGCTACACCTGGTGCAGTTGATGGCGAATACTCCGTCCGGTAGTGCCACCGATTCAGATATCGTCGTCGTCACCTTGAATTTTTCTAGGTTGTCCTTGCTGTTCTGCAGGCTCTGATAGGTCTCGCGGAACTCCTCCAATCTATTCAAGCCTAGAAGCAGCATTCAAAGCTCGTCATTTCTAGGAGACGGATCCACAAAATTGGAGCACTGATCTGCCATAGATATTTGGGTTCTATAACTGCATTTGACCGACCTCGCGGAATTTCCGATTCCAGTTTCTCCATTATCTCTCGTAGCCGATGTCGATCCTCCAATACCTCCATGGTGAGTTTGAGAGGGACAGGGTCCGAGTGTTGGAAATCCGAAAGAAAGGTGCTGTAACTTTGGATTCCCATAATCCAAAACATGTACTGGAACCCCTCGTCCGCTTCGTTGCCGGAAAACAAGGCGGAGTTGTTGAATTGAAAGGACTTATCATGAGGGATATTGGCAGCCTTGAGAGTGTTGAGGACTTTGGGCCTCTGACCATCCGTGAAGGAAATGAGAACGTAGAACTTTTCCTTCATGTCTTTGCCGAACATTTCCATCACGGAATCGAATATGTATTTCTGGGCCCCAGTCAGTCTCGAAACAGAAGCAGGCAGTACGAACCCAATACCGCTCAGCGAGTCCAAGCCGTGAGGTTTGCAGGCGGCAAAGAATGCATGTACCTGTCACGGACCAAATTAACGTGAATTATTGACACTATGGACCGAGAAGTCGCCTAAAGAGAACAGGCTCTAATGAATGATTACTGTTAAAATGGCTGATGAGCCAGGTGTGAAACATGCATCACTCGATGCTTTTATTGAAATCGAGCCCGTTTCTTACCGATTAATTTCCTGGGTTAGGCAACCCCCGAAATCACTCTAATTAGCCAAGGAAAAAATAACGACCTGACCTTAGTTAACATCTGACGGTCGACATCCAGCCCCTCGGTGTCCCCAAAGCCCGGGGTGTCGATGATGGTCAACGTATAGGGGATCGGGGATCCCTTCTGCCAGTGAAGGGTGTAGGCGGATACCTGCTTCGTCTGACTGCTGGCGGAGGTCTCCTCGTTGGTTTGCGTCTTCCTCTCCGTGATGAGCTTCAACCTGAAGTCGTCCTTCCATTCCACTCCGTACACGTAGTTCGCGATTCCATTGATCATCGTAGTTTTCCCTTAAGAAAAAAAAGTTATTTTTATCGCATGATAGCAAAATCAGCTCGAACTCGATGCTGAACTTCAATCATCCAGTGTTTCTGCTTCTGTCTGAATGTTTTTAAAACTCGACTTGTCTCTCCGTTAGAAGATCATCCAGAAACGAGCATATGATCATAATATAAAGTTATGATCATTTTGATCCTCGCATAAGCACTAATGTTCTCGAATGGAAATATAGAATCGAGATGGGCTCTGACCTGCACCGGTGGCGCCAACGAGCATGAGAACCTTTTCTTTCACGTCTTTGTTCGTCTTCGCTCCGACTTCGTACTTGGCAATCTTCAAGTCTTGGTTCCAGACGATTTTTTCCTTCCTCAATTTGTAGATTCGAGGTTTCCCGTCTTTGGGGATTTCGTACTTCCAGGCGAGTTCCTCTCGTACCATCTCGGCGAGTCTGTCGTAGGACTTCCCCGACTTCCCAAAGGCGTTGCCGACGACATTCTTGAGGGTCCCGTGTCGACCGTGTCGACCGCGTCTACTCGTCCCCGACTCCTTGACGTCCGAGGATTCCGAGGAGTCCTGCGAAGACAACGAGATTCGTCGAGAAGCTGTCGAGATCGGGGAATGCAGAACTGCCAACAGTACAGAGAACCCATCGATATGGTAGCCCTATTTCATTTTCCTGGTCTATTTGACCGAAGTTCGACCGTGTCCCGATTCCCTCAGGAGGGAAATGAGGAATGGAAGGGGTGAGAAGACGCAAGAGGCATTTCTTCCAGAGCTATTTTAAAAAGCGAATTTCAATTAAAAACTGGGGAATTACCCCAGCGGTTTCGTATGAAAGAATTTCATCAACCTAAATTTTTTGTATAAACTTGATCTGCTCCCTGATCTCCTAGTTTGATCTATTATGGAGATGTCCTGAATTAAAAACTTTCTTTTGAATAAAAGCAGCCTCCTCCTCGTTCACGCTCGCCGCAGCAGTAAAGTAGTATTTGTTGTTCTACATCGACACGTACCTCGTACATGGAAATGCTATGGCAATAGAGCTCTAAGGGGCTGCCTAAATTAATTCCCATCTTTCATGCATGTTAGAATTATGAAGCCTCTCCAAAAGTCGAGCCTCTCGAAACGGTGTACCTAATCGTATAGTAATATTTAATATAATGGTAGAAATAAAAATAGAGCCCTTATTGCAATTTAATCGTGTTCACTGAGATATTGTACTTCACCTCCTCAGAACCATCAGCCAAAGATTTAGGAATTCAAATGGTGGAGAAAAAGTTGACAGCTGGTCGATGAGCCGGGGAACACAATTGGTGCACGGAAAAATGAAGATGCCTTAAGATTACACTCTGAACGAGATTAGGATTGGAAGCATTTCTCATTCTACAGTGAAACTTTTAATGAATCATTTTCATGAAATCGAGCAAGTACGAGCTGATTCCTGGAACTACCGGGATCTCAGGGCCTCGACAAGGAAGATGAATAACGTCTGCACAGTGGGCTGTGCGGGGGTGATGGGGGGGGGAGGGGGGGGGGATGGGGGGGGGGGGGGGGGGGGGGGGGGGGGGGGG